GGATTTTTAAATTCTATTCTGAATTTCACAGGGAGCAAATGCACGTAGAAGCTAATACAGGAGAAGAGAAATATGCTCCCTTTTTTAGGTCCAGGTCTGTACTTGTGCTGCTATGCGCTTCTTGTGATATTATATTTGAATATGCGCCTATTGGACTTATATCATGGGGCACGCCACCTGGCATATGATAAGGCAATTGCCAGTAATCCAGCCTAGAAGTAACAAATGTATGGTATTAGTTTTTTTTTACTGTGTCTTGTGGACTCAGGATTAATTGTGGTCGGATTTTACTTGCTAGTATGTGTACTGTTAAATGAATAATATTAAGGCGGGTCCTAGAAGTTTGCTTTCATTGTAGGGAGTGTGACAACCAGGGACCCCATATCCTGATCCAAACGCATAACTCCAAGGATCCTGACTGGAGGCCCCAAGGTGAATACCATCTACTAGAGTAACTATTCTTTGATAATGAGTTTCGGAGGTGTTTGGGCCAATGTACAAGAAACTTCAGTTTTGTCTGGGGCGTTTTTATACATTCAAAAATTGCTTTAGGACATCCACGGATTTTTTATTGTTCTTAAGGCATGCTTGTAATTTTGCTAATGTTATTTTAAATTACATGAATTAAAATTATGGGAATGACAATTCTCAGTTGGTATCTACATGTATTAGCGGCAATTCATGAATAAAAGTTATCTAGACAGGCTTTTCAAATACAAGCAGGTCTAAGACTGCACTCCGTATTAAAAATTCAGATCCAACAGTTCCACCATGGAGCAAAAACACTTGGCGACAGCTTGGCATAGGAAAATTCCTTTTAAAGGAGGCAGAAACCCTCAGGACAGACCATGGCTTCCCTAGGTAGATTGGTCTTCTGCCTCGGAAGACAAGGAAGGACAGCGGCAGGATGGGTAAAGGACTAAGTACAGGAGACAAGGGGTGGCAGCAGGGTCGAGGCAGACGGACCACCCACCCTAGAGCCGGAAGGGTTCTGTCTAGGTTTCTGCTCTTAAAAGGCAGTTTTTCTTGCTCCCGTCTCGCCAAAAGTGCTTGCTCATGTTGGTACTGTTGGGGTCTCTGGTAAATCTAATAATGTTTATAAGGAGTTCTGGCTCTAGAACGCATCGCTCTATTGAAAAGGTGTCCGAGATAACTTCTGTTATGAATTGCTGTATACAATAAAAATGTGAACTGAAAAAGTTTTTATCTTGAAACATTAGCAAACAACTACAACTCAATAGGAAGTAAATGGTAAAATGGCGTGTATCTGCTATATAGCGCCCTTTCTAGTCTTTCTCACAACATGGCACACTCACCCCATTCACCACATTCATACCACTGGATGGCAGTGGCTTGCCCATGCACTGAGTCAACTACTCAACAGAATCGGGAAACGTAATCATTCACTACACACTCATACCAACCGATGCACAGATCGGGAGCATTTTGGGGTTCAGTGTCTTGCTGCAAGGATACTTCAACATTGCAGGCGAGAGGAGCAAGAGGAACCTTAGCGATTCGGTGAGACGACCGCATCTACTTCTGAGCCACAAAGCGCCCAAGTGATCTGATGGTGATGATGAACATGAAGAGATGATGACGCAAACGACAACAGCCCAACGATAGGGGACGATGAAGCAATGATAATTAGTAATAATAGTAACTCGTAATAATAATAATAATATCAGTAATATTAGCAGTGGGGAGTCAAGCAGGACCATCGGCAGGAGGTCCACCAGGATCCATGAGAACCTGCGAGACGAGAAAGCACAAGTTAGTAACTTCACTTGTTCCCCGGAGAATATAACTGGGTATCATCTGCATAACAGTGAAAGTAATGGAGTGATTCCGAATGATGTTTCCTAAGGGAAGCATATTTAAGGTGAATAGAATTGGTCCAAGCACAGAACCTTGTGGAACTAACTTTGACTAACTTTAGTCTGCATGGAGGATTCATGATTAACATGTACAAACTGAGATTGATCTAACAAATAGGACTTAAACCAACTTAGTGCGGTTCCTTTAATGCCAATTAGATGTTCAAGTCTCTGTAATAGAACATTATGGTCAATGGTGCCAAATGCAGCACTAAGCTCTAACAATACACGTACAGAGACAAGTCCATTGTCTGATGCAATTAAAAGGTCATTAGTAACTTTCACCAGTGTTATCTTTGTGCTAAATCTTGACTTAAAATCCTCAATTTTTCTCAAGAATTTTAGAGAGAAAGGGGAGGTTAGAAATGGATCTATAGTTGGCTAAAACCCCTGGGTCAAGAGTGAGCAAATCAGGATGCATTTAATTAACAGTCAATCAGGATGCATATAGATTAGCCAATCAGAAAGCATTCTGAATCTCCCAACAGTCAATCGGGGCTTGTAGAACAATCAGCCAATCAGAAAGCATATAACATCCCAGCCAATAATAATGAATTTAAGAAATAGCCAATCAGGATGCATATAAAAATCACACACTGAGAACATAAATCAGGATGCATTTCAATCAGGACAAATATAAATTAGCAAATGAGAAAACATAAAACAACCAATCAATCAGAAAGCATGTAACAATGAGCCAATCAGGATGCATTTATTAAACAGATGCATTGAACAAACAGACAATCAGAAGGCATTTAAATCAGCAGATCAGGATGCATTTAACAAACAGCCAATCAGGATGCATATAAATTAGCCATTCGGAAAACATGTACAAAAATCCAATCAGAATTCATCTAACAAACAGCCAATCAGGAAGAACTTAAGGAACAACCAATCAGGATAAATATAAATCAGCCAGTGAGAAAGCAATTAACAATGAGCCAATTGGGATGCATGTAGCAGTCAGTCAATAGGACAGCATATAAAACCAATCAGGCAGTATGTAACAATCAACCCATCGGGATGTATATGACAATCAGCAATCAGGATGCATTTGACAAACAATCAGCCGAATATCATATGTTTTGGACACTGCATGAAGGAGTTAAATTTCACTTCCTATGTCCACCAGTCAGGAGTAAGCTTCTCCTGGTTAGGATTCCTTCAGTGTTCATCATTCAGGAGGTTGAGTAATTGGCCAATGACTAAAATCCTTTTATAAGGTTCAAATATTAAGTTAAAAACCACCAAGTGTATAGTAAAAATCTGGCTTAAAACTGGATAAAAAAGTCAATTTATGACTTTTTTTCTGGCAGACTACATGGCTGGCACATGCACAAATGGGATAAGATGCCACTGACATTTCTCTAATTCACACCGCACAATGCCTTACCCTCACACCAAGACCTCAAGTCTTGTAAATCGTCAAATGACTGACATCCATGTCGTGTAGGAACCAGTCATAGTTCAATTTTGTTGCAACAACATTGCATAAAAATACTCCTGTTCCTACCACGCTTCAACAGTTGTGAATAGTGACAGGTTCTCAATCCCTGTTATAATTTCAGTACCACAAAGAAATACCATGTTACTCGTGTCCAGCTTCGCACCAACCTGTCACTACAGCAGCAACCTAGACAGTGGCGTGCACAGACTTTTTGAAGGGCAGGGCGGAAAGAAAAAAAGGGCCCATATAGCGCGTCCTCACCACTGTAGAGGGCACTTTAGACACATTTTATATGTTATACAAATGGCACATTATATAGCCTTAAAACAGACTAACTGGACAGACTACTCAAAGGTAGTCTTGCGAGAGAACTGTGTGGATTTCAACATAGGACTGTGAAGAACACACAGCGACATGGATGTATGAAGGAAATAAACCCTAGGGGTCTGGGGGTCTCCCCAGAACATTTTCAATTAAGTAAGCCATTTCCTGTATTCTAGTGCATTTTAACACCATATTAGCACCAGATAATCCAAACTGGTTCTGTGAGATATAGTTCTGGCTCAATATAGATCAACAAAGGGCCCAACATAAAAGTCATTGCAACAGTAATGTGTCATAGTATTTCTTGGTCCTAATAGTCTTCTGGAGTTTAATGTATTTTCTTCACCCAAGAGGGCTCTGTGATAAAATCACACAGGGAACAATACACATTTAAACTATTTATTTGACAACTCAAAAGAAACAAACTATGATGAAGCATGAGAATAAGTGCTGCTCCATTGCTGCAGGTGGCAGGGATGAATCAAGTCTCAAGTCTTTAAACACAAGTGTAAGTCAAGTCTCAAGTGTTCGAGGTATAAACCAAGTCGGGGAGTCAACTTAAACCTGGCGGAAAACCCTGATAGTGCAATGAATAAACCAACTTTTAACTTTACTTGCTAGCTTTGAAAAGCTATTCCCACAAGACGTAGTGAGGTAGCTCCTCCTTAAACATGCAATAGGCATCTCTACCTAATAATAGAACTTAGAACAGGGCAGTTGAGTGTTTTTTCCACCCAGAGGAGGGCACTTTAGCACGCGTTTTCCCTCCCAATAGACACTTTAGCGTGTTTGGCTCCCAAGAGGACACTTTTAGCACGCTTTTTTCAACAATTGGGCCACGAGGGTTGCCGCCCGCCGTTCACGCAACTGGCTCTGATTTAGAAAGAGGGTCTTTGACTTTACCAGAAATATGTTGCCATATCATTTAGCTAGGATCTTGTTATTTCGGGTGTAGTATCGTACATATTGCTCAAATCCTGGCAACACAGTCTCTGGCTTACAGTGGTTAAAATTGCCTAAAAAGAAAATAGGTGCTCAGTGTGTGCGCTGCAGCTGTTTGTGTGCGCACTCTGCTATGCGAGCAGCAGCTTTACCTGCGTTGCCGCTGGGGGGGGACATAAACAG